TATATATATATATATATATACTGGCAATGAGAATTTTGGGTTTAATACCTGTTCAAACATTTTGGTTTTGACACCTCTTGAGTCTCAGCATTGGTTTTCAAGCAACTACACATTCATTGTGGCTGTTTTGGAGATACTGGTCTCTTTACTTTAACATCTATTACAATGGTTTTCTAGCAGCTACACATCCATTGTGGCTACTGTGGAGACTGTGGGCTTTTTACCTTGGCTTCTTTTATTACAATGGTCTTAAATATTATTTTATATTGTGTGATTTATTTACTGACTAACTTGTATTAGTTATACTAAAGGTGGATTAAGTACATAAATCTAAAAGAGTATGATTCAGAGTTTTTGTTCTCTACTAAAGATCAAGTCTGGACCACAGTTAACTCAAGTGGGAGACAGTGTGAAGGTTAAGGTTTGCTTTATAGATGAAGGTAAAGAGTCACTCGTGGAAATCGACCATCTTTTGCTTTTACCTGAAGAATGGAAACAGGTTTCTCCACAAGCTGTTGAGGTCTTTATGTGTCGACTCCAACCTCTAGATGGAGACGTAGAGTGGACTCCTCAGGCCAATACCTTTATTCATCACCTAATACATGGGAAGGAGTTGCTAGGAAGAGTAAGTGATCCAGTCTTTTCTTCCATCATTATGTTCCTGTGGTATTACTGAAGGTACTATTTTTATATGGAACATTCTATGAGAGTAAAATTTCAAAGGTGTTCTCTATATAGAGATTTTATATGTGAATTTTTTTCTTGTAATTTATCCTCTTTATTAATAAGTGTAAATAAACAGTAATAAAAAAAACACAAGTAGTTTTACATACTTTTGTGGACAGTGATATAAAGTATGCTACAAAACTTTAGTTTATTAAAGTATGCAGTTCGTTTTCCACATATTTGTAAGGTGTTGTTATTTTTTGTGTGAAAACTGTGTAGTGGTAAAAGAAGAGTATTTTTACGCTTATACTGTGAGGTAAAAACGGCTGCTGCTATGATTTTGTCTATTTATGAGCTCGTTGTTGTCCTAATTTAGGATCTTTTTAATAAGTTCTTAAAAATGTTCTAATAGAGAGAGAAAGGGGGCCCAGTGAGGTTGCTTGCCCCATGGCCCGTGCTAGCTCTCGAAACTCCTGACTGTTCTAATTCAGAATTAATTAAGTGGCCCTCACACACAAAGACATGTTAACACCCCTCTCTAGCTCTGTTTTCTTCCAGGTAATTTTGATGATGAATAGTGAAGTGACAATAAAATTCTGATGTATTTCAAAAGTGTGCTGATAAAAGACAGATTAATTCACAAAAAAATGAGATAAAGACATTCTGTTTCAATAAATTTATTATTAACTTCATTCAAACTTGTGCTTTAAATTTTTATTTTCTTTGGTAATTTTAATAATAAATCCATAATGTGCTCTCCACTGGAATCACAAATCTTTAAAGTCTCTTAATTCTTAGAAAGTGGCATATTCAAGGCAATCATTGTTAACAATTATTACATATAAAACAACCCTGCTAAAGAAGTGACATATACAAAGCAACCCTGCTAAAGAAGTGACATATACAAAGCAACCCTGCTAAAGAAGTGACACATATACAAAGCAACCCTGCTAAAGAAGTGACATATACAAAGCAACCCTGCTAAAGAAGTGACATATACAAGACAAACCTGCTTTTAAAACCTCTGTGGAGACAGGCACCTGTCCTTGGCATGCTTTGTACAAATATTTCAGGTGAGTAGGATTAGATATGGCATAACCAGACTTAATCAGTTCAGTACGTGGTCTGATCGAGTTCACCCAGATCTTCACATTTTCCAATCTTTCTCTCACAACCAATGGGTCAAGCCAAAGTGTGTGTCCAAGACATAAAGCAACCTAACAGTGACAAAACATTTCATAAACAAATATGATATTATGACTTTTAAGTTCTTTGTAAGAAAGTGTTTTCTATAGAAATGGCTTGGGTATGTATATTTCTGTTTTACCTTTTTCATATCCTCACCATGGATTACTTTTGTCTTTTGCTTCATTCTCTCAATGTTCATGTTCGCCTTTCGAAAACAATTTGGAGTAAAAATTGTTCCCTCTGGCTATATTTCCTTCATCGACATCAAAAATCAATAAATAAATTGTGTGTTCCACTGATTTTCATTTTTGAAATATATTATTCACAACAAAAGGCTTGAGTAAATTTATTTAATCTTCATAATCTTTTACTTCATACATCTACAATTTCAATAAGCTGGTGTTCAATATAATACACTTTCATATAAACACAAACATGAATAAATAGAAAATTTATCATTTCAAAATGTCAATTCACAAAGCAAATGTATATAGACTAAGAAAAAAAAAGGTGAAATCATCAGATATATAGTAAAATCAAGATGTACAATTTGGGTTTTTATAGTGCGGCACCAAAAAAAAATCCAAGTCATATAATAATCATTTTTACAACAGATACTCTTCTTTTACCACTACACACGTTAGTAAAGTAACAACAAATATCTATTAAATCTATATAGTAACAAATACATCTTAATTATTACTAAAATTATTATTTCAGTCGTTCTTGATGTATCAAGCGTCTATATGCAAAGAAAAGCCAAAAACTATGGTTTTTATCATTAAAGATGCTTTTCTGGCTTTACAGCATAACCAGGTTTCATTCGCCCTGGCTCCTAGGCAGTTGCCTCTTCCCCCCCCCCCCTTGTCGGCGGGCCTGCTCTTGAGTCATTATATTGAAAATATAAATTGACAACTAAGCAGTGAGAGAATAGATTAAGAAAAATAAAAAAACAACAAGTTTACAAAGTAAGCATCAAGAAGAGAAATAAAACGATATAAAATTATAAACGGACAAAGTTTAACTTTTTTCGTCGAGCAATGGAAATGCTGTTTTAACATTAATGAGTAACTTTTTCCAGAACTGTCGCTGTTGTAGTTATACAGAAAGGTTAGCGAATTATTCTGTCAAACGTCAAGTGTAACGAATTGTATATGTACTATCTTAATGTTAGCCCCCTCGTGGCACAGCGGTATGTCTGCAGAATAACAACACTAGAAACCGGGTTTTGATACTCGTAGTGGGCAGAGCACAGATAACCCATCGTGTAGCTTTGTGGTTAATTACAAACAAACAAAACCTTCATGTAAACTTATTGACTGTTACTAAATCTTATTTATTTGGTTGATAACCATGTTAAATTTGACTCTTGCTAGGTCTGACTTCCGTCTTTTCTAATATTCATGTTAATTTTGGTTGTTACTGATTCTGATTTTCATCTTTTCCTGATATCCATGTTAATTTTGGTTATTCCTAATACTGAATTCCATCTTATATTATATTCATGTTAATTATGGTTGTTCCTAATACTGAATTCCATCTTATATTATATTCATGTTAGTTATGGTTGTTACTGGTTCTGATTTCCCTCTTCTATTATATTCATGTTAACTTTGTTTGATCCTAGTTATGACTTCCATCTTTTCTTATATTCATGTTTGTCAGATTTTGTATATGGGCAGGATTCTTTACAGTAGGTGTCTGTGACTTATTGGCCATAAATTTCAACAATAAACGGGCAGCACACAATCCACTTGCTTTAAAATAATACATTCAAAATAAGTCAAACGTATGTACAAACAAAATTCGTTACACTAATGGTTATCACACTTGTATTGAGAGCTTTAAATAATTGTTTCTCTTTCGTCAAAGTCCACACAGGTGGTTTCAATTAATTTAGATCACCCTTTTACAAAACCAATTATTCTCCTCTCCTCTGTTATCACAATTCACTTACTTTACCCCGTGAGTTACCGCAGTTGTGTACAGAGCTTTAAATAATTCTTATTTACGCCAAAAGTCCACACAGGCTGGTTCAGTTACTTTAGAACCCAGCCGAAAAAACAAATAATTCTTCTCAACTTTGTTATTACAATACAATCTGCGATTATAACACTTTAAAAGACACCACTATACACTCTTTATGGTTTAACTATCTCTCACTGACTTTGTCTTACTTTTACTTTCACTAACTTACTTACTTCTTTGCACTCTGTATATTACGTATTCACAACACCCACAACACGTGACAGAAAAATTTAGAAATATCTAGCCCTCTAGTAACGACAATCTTAAACATAACGAGAAAGACTTAGAAGGTCTGAGTAAGATGACGTCAACAATATTATAAAAACATAGTACAACAATTAAACTACATATACAACATACGACTCATATAGAGTTACGTAAAGAAACTTGTCATAACTATCGCTTTTATGAAACTATCTCGTTATGAAAATTAAATAATCAGTAAATACTAAATCGCTAAATAAACTAAATAATTACTCTTAAAATAAACAATCTTGTATATCCAACGATGTTAAACTTGACTCTTGCTAGGTCTGACTTCCATCTTTTCCTGATATTCATGTTAAGCTTTGATTGTTCCTAGGTCTGATTTCCCTCTTTTCTGATATTCATGTTAACTTTGATCATCCCTGGGTTTTATTCCCTCATTTATTATATTCTTGTTAACTTCAATTGTTCCTGGCTTTGATTACCCTCTATGCCTTATATTCATGTTAGTGTTACGCCTCCATTCGTCAGTTAATTTTCCGTAAATTTCGTTCGAACAAAACTTTAGCGACACAAGTCCTTTCTTAAATAAAACTGGTTTATTCTTTCTGAATACAACTTTGTGATACGC